ACATATGGAGAAGAAACAGTTTCATAATGTTCTCTTTTCAGCGTTTTATAGCAATTTGAAAACCACTCGGTCCGCTCCGCCGTCGAAAAATCGGCTTTTTCTGCTTCTCAAGATGTGATTCGACCACTTAAAAAGCTCAGAAAGCTGTGAGAAGTTCTTTCATGAAATCAGAAATGCATGAAAACACTACTACATATTTTAGATAATATAAAAATGATGACGGGTTTCCAAAACAGGTCAAAAGGGACTTCGTACGAAATTTTCAATATCAAACGGGACTTCGTTTTGAAATTTCCCTGGTGCCAGCTCCTGCCGAGCCCTGACTCGGTGCGAAAGAACTTGCATCAACCTATTAGAATTAAACTGAGTATTAGGTTGGAAATTAAGAATGTCGTTTTCTACAGCAAAGCAACGGACGAATTAGAAAGATTATGTGAAGGATATTATTCGTAGAGCAAGGGAAGCTCTACAAAAGAGCATCTAAACATTAACTCAAGTCGTGGTTTACCCAAAGTTCAAAGCCAAATCATAGGAGCAATTCATAGTGCCCAAAAATCGCATTTTCGCCTCAAAAAATCCTACGAACTCATCTTGTTCCAGCATATAGCGGACACATGCACTTATCCATTTGTGCACTTGCCAAATTTTTTCGCTATTAGAAAATCAAAAATGAAAAACAAAAATGGCAAAGTCCTATTCTGGTAATGTTGGACTCCGCCCTACATGCATTAGTGTACTACAAAGCTTGGAGAATTTGATTATGAAATATGAGCCTTTGATGTGCTGTAGTTCCTGAGAAATGTCAATTGTAGCTGAAAAAAAAAAACCAAAAAAGAGACATTTTTCTCTTTTCAATCCAATAATTCTACATACGCTTTTTTTTACACTGCAGAAACAGTTCGGTGCTGCGTCGAGTTCAGACTAAACGTTTATTCGATTTCTTTTGCAAATCATCGAAATTCTGCATCATTCTCCCACTTTGCATGCTGCAAAACACAATAAAATTGAGAACGTTCGTTCGCTCATCAATTATTCAGGTACAAGATAAGGACACATCTCTGGAAACATAGAGCAAGTAGGTTTCGCAATAAAGGTTTTACAAGCTATTGATGGTAGCTCCCTTTTACAAAATGCAATACTAGTGATGTCCAATAAGCAATCATCTATTAAAGAGTGAAAGGAAGTCCTTTGTAATTTGAAGTTTTACCCTCTCTGAAACGTCACTGCCAATTCCTGAAGCTGTCTAGATGAGACTCATAGAGTTGATTTGCATCGTTAGTATGCTGTCTTTCATCATTTTCAGCTAACTAACTATTATTTTACTTTAGTTCTTCTGCTTCCTACTTGTGATACTTCGTGTTCAAGGACATTCCCATGGACATCATGGGCACTCTCATGGAGCGGATTCTAGTTATTCTGACGAAGAATATGAAGATAGTGACTACGAGTTATAGTCCATGAACATTTTTTTTCGTTTGTTTTTTTGTGTTTTCTCAATATATTGTCCTTACATGCATTATGAAAGACTTGATATAGTCAACTTTGCTAGCTGTGTACTGTGTGGTTTTTTGAAGTGGAACAAAGGGAGTGAGAAGAGGTGAGGCCACATTAAATCATAAAATTACCATTAAAGGATGACAAAAAAATGCAAATGAAAATATTTTTGATTGTGACACGCACTGAGTGCATCGTCTTGAAGATATGGATCTGCTAACTTGTAATATCAATGCTGCAAGTACATTTTCTGATGGCTATGTTGTAAACTAATACACCTCTACTATTTATGAAGCTCGTCCACTTGCCTTTTAGGTGTGCGTGTATACCTGTCTGTTTGTACGTATATTCGGATAGAGATTTTTTGATAGAAGATCGATCACCTACACTTCTGCCGCGGTGGTGCCATAAATAGTCTGTTACTGGCAAATTTTGCAAACCTTAAGCTGAAACGCTGACTTTTGTTCAAGTAAAGTAAGTGATTGATTAAAATCTGTCTCGGAATTTCCCCTGCAAAGGCAGTGGCCCGGGAATTGCGACTGTGAGAATTTTACACCTACATGGCTCTTCGGATGCGCTGAGTCCAGTGCTGTGCTTGGAAAGTCAAAAAGTGCTTTTTACGGCGTTTTCCTACCATGGAGACAGCTGAAGAGGATGCACGAGGAATTCCCGCTATAAACAGTGACTGGCTGCAGGGTACTGTATCTCCACCCATTTCGACGGTAATGCTGATCGGCTCAGACAGCCAATTGTGATGTTGGCAAGAATCCCTCGCCCATGTCTCCCAGCTATCTTCAGTGTAGGAAAAAGCCGTGGAAAGCATTTTTTGACATTTCAAGCACAGCCCTGGACTTAGCGCATCCTGAAGGCCTTGTAGGTGTTAAAAACTCGCAGTCGCCATTTTTTCGAGCTACTGCCTTTAAATGGCATATAGATGGACAAAATAGGGGGAAATTCTTGCAATGTCAAGGAATGGCGAGTTGACGTCGCCTTGACGTCCTTCAGAGTGATGTTAGCTCTCAGCTGCATGGTATTCTTAGAATTTCTCGGGAAGTCTACAACAAGTTGATCTTATGAGGATTGGTCAACAGATGTAATTTTTATAATTATAGAAAAGGTTCGAGAGTTAACTTACCCTTGATTTAATGTTAAGTTGTCCATACTGTCTGGCAACGATTCAAAAAGCAAACGGAATGAGAAACAACGGGCACTTAAGTTTATACTCTACTCCCCTTTGCTACCCGCACTATGTCGATTTCTAAGCAGAGCGTAAACGGCATAGGTGAGAAATTATATTAGGTTGTTTCATAAGTTCGTAGAGTTTTTATTCTACTCTTTTGATGAAGCATCTGGTTTACGACAATTGAAATTGTTATGAATGATGAAAAACCACTGTTTACGGGATTATGGCGTGCATATAAAAGTAGTCTCTATATTTGAAGAGACAATCCGGACGGTAAAGCGTACTTTCGAAACGTGTCTTGTAGATGTCTTACGTTTTGTACAATTTAAAGAATTCCCTACACCAAAAATTTTTGGAAAAGCGTAGAATGTTGGCCAGAGCTTGTATTCATATATCTGCACCACTTAGAAGAACCCATTCATTCGCCCAATCCCGACAGAAGAACCGACACATTCTGTCCCTAGACAGCGCGCAAGTTTCAAGCGGTAGCATTTAAAGACAACTACTGAGACCTTGTTTATACAATTCTTAGCACATTGACTACTGCAAATGTGTCAGTATTATCATGCTCGGTACTAGCCCTTCCGCCTACATATGAGGATAACCTCTTGCAGGATGCGAATCAAGTGCACTTGCCGAAATCGGCAATTAAAAAAACTTTGCTTCAAGAGCCGTTCAACGAAAGGATCTATTGCTGTGAAACCGAACAACAGTTCTTGTGGAGCAAAATTAGCTCTTGCAAAAGGTACAGGTTTTTGGCGTAAACCAAAAGCTTCATTAAAAAATGGCGCCCAAAGTAAAAACTCTACGACCTTATGAAACGACCTGATATTTTCGTTAGTGCCTTTTACCACCGCCACTGTGATAGCGAAAATATTTATACATAAGCAGCTGTTCAGATAGAAGATGTATTGCGCTGAAAGAATTTAATACAAACATCAATTTTTTTCCTTCTTTTTTTCTACTTGGGAGACTCCATGTAAGGCAGTACAGGTTCAATGCATTTCTTATGAGCTCTTCCGGAAAAATCTTCTTCTATGGATTTACAGAACTTGCTTCAATGTCATCTTCAAGTTTTACAATAACCTCTTGTACTGAGTTTCTCAACTCCCTAAAACGCATGTGCCTTTGCAAGAAAACTCAATGATGACGACATTTGCGAGCACACTTTCGTAACACAGCTACATACTTCAACTTTGAAGCAGAACAAAGACTTCTGAAGACAAGAAGAACCACATTAATGTGACTCATAAGTGAAAGCTTGAAGTCGAAGCTTCAGGTATAGCACTGGCAAAATGGATTGGAGAGGACGCCCTTATATAGCAGCAAGTCATGCGTAAATCGAATTCTAATTCTTTGCTCCATCGGAAATGATCGGCAAGGAAGTGAGGCCATAATAGAATAGGATAAGTTCTATTACTCAAAAGAGTAAGAGTTTTGGAAGTCACAAAGAAGCGAATATCTCATTTTTACATAAGGATCGCATATACGGACAGCAAACCAAATTCATGCAAATCAAGGCTGTATCTCAGTCATATTTTCCGAGCATTCCATGCTCATAGAAACATGTCAACATAAGTAATGAAAAATAGCCAATTTTTCAAGCATATGAGAAAGCCTTGTAAGACAGATCATCGTTAATACGACCTGAGTACCATCGACTTTGATCTCACCGCATTTCATTGAGTAATAGCACTATCTCCTGTACTGCGATGTTTGAGATGAAATGATTTTCTTTAGATGGACTATTTCTGACAGAAAAAAGGGCTCTATGCCTTGACGTTTTCAGCATCTGAGCAAATTTGGCAGTCTTGATTATCTTTAAGGTCAAAACCTTGTGTTATGTTCTCGAAAATTGGATTCACAGAATTTGACAAGTTTGCAGCTTCGGCCAGAGGGACTGGCTGTCACTGGCCTTGATTGCATCTTCAACTTATGATTCGCAAAGTTGAATGAAAAGCGGAGCAAAAACGACAGATTTCTTAGACCGTATAAACAGTCTCAGTCCCTACTGTCTGTTTGCTACAGCTTGAGATACGTTCCCATAGAGCTATCTGTGAGCAGGAATCATTGTTTGTGACAGTTAACAGACCAGAGTTGACTGCCAGCAAGTAAAGGAGAACCTGCTTGTTTTCTCAGAAAGAAATTTCGTAGGGTTTTGTACATTTCCAACGAAGCTAAGCTTCCTTGGAATCTAAGCTAGCATGTGACAGCCGTTCTACATCAAAAAAATTTCTTTTATTTGAAAGAAAAAAATTACATTACAAACATCACATTTCCGCTCCTCCTCTTTCTTCTACTCCTCCTCCTCTACTTCTTCGTTCTACTCTTCTTCTTCATCATCTTCTTCCTCTTCTTCCTCCTCCTCCTCCTCCTCCTCCTCTTCTTCTTCTTCCTCCTCCTCCTCCTCCTCCTCCTCCTCCTCCTCCTCCTCCTCCTCCTCCTCGCCGTCCTCCTCCTCCTCCTGACTTCCGGCACTGCTGCCATTCACGTCTCCCTCTGGGCCACTTGGGGGACCTGGCGGAAAATCGCTAGGATCCATGTCTCCGGGGTATTGGATTTTGTCTTCAGCACCAGGACCCTCCTCCGCATGGAGACTTGCAACGAGGGCAAACAGCAACTAAAAAGAATTATCTAATGCGTAAAAATATGTAGCACATTAGAGAAGAGCTTACAAAGCAAGCAAGGAATAGTAGTCGCATGTTGACCTGTGACTCTTACGAATTTCATCTGCTTTTATATGGAAAGTAGAATGACGTTGCAATACCTACGCACTTACTGCATTGGCAGTACATCGAGCAATATTTTCTCGATAGTATCCCATGTGCTCAAAACATATTGGTACCTCTATTGACGAGTACATCCACACACATCATGTATGACCGAAACATGATGAACGGTTTCTATCATATGATGCAATTTTACGTAAGCCAGCTGACTATTCAGTCGAGTACAATACATGATACATCAGTAAGTTAGGTTTCGCGCACTTTCACATATGTTTGTATCTGATACGTAATGAAACTCCGGCTTTTCTCCTCCACCAGATCATTATCATCCTTATCTCCTAACTATTGTAGTCTATTAGTATCTTAGGTGAACAACTGTAAGACTGCTTTTGATGCTAGGTTTTGGATACTGAAAATATATCGATACTTCAAGGTCAAAAATCACTATAAAAAGTGAAAAATATCCTTGGTTCTTAGATGTCAGCAAAAAGGGTTTAAAGTATAGTATAGGGCATTCGAAAATCGCGACGATGGCGCAACCGCGGGCGACACGCACGCCATTGCATTTCTTGGTTTCTATCTCTACTCGAATGGTCATTCTGCTTACATATAGTATTCAGGCACTGGAAGTGCCTGAGTTGAACGTTGAGCTGATGCCTGTTTGTGTGGGTGTCTTAGGCTTCTGCGTGCAAAGACCGCAGTCAAACTCGCCGTCACGATTTTTAAGAATACCATACTCTTTCACGATTCTTCCGAAACCCTGCAAGGTATAGACTTGTACTCCGGTGGCGAAATTCTTTGCTTTATTTGAGTTGTCCAATTTTAGAAGAAAAGCAAGTGCGCCTTGCGCTCATGAAATTAGGATGATGAAGTCATTGGTCGGTTTTAGCACTACGCATCACTAACCACATGATCATAACGCGAATGCGCTTGTAGAAAAATGGCTTCAATAACAAATTATGAAAATTGGCTGAACTTGACGAAATCGTTCTCAATCGGACACAAGCGGAAAATCTTCCGTCTTTTGATTCATTTATTTATTCTATTTAGTTATTTATTTGGCTACAAATTCGACATCTAGGTAGTCCAAAGAGAAAGATAATTATTCCGACATTCGACCAAAAATCTTAGCCGTCTTTCTAAAACGGGATCCCCTTTTTGAGGGTCAGTGCGCCCGGGTGCATAGGCGAGGTGGCCATATCCCAGAAAGTAAATAAAAATTTTCGGGCACTAAGACATTCAAAGGTTTGTTTGTTTTCCATCTTTGAATGTCGTATTGCCTTTTCGAAATCACCTGTTTTTTCTCTGGGATATGGCCAGCTAGCCTCTGCACCTGGGCTCGCTGGCTCCTAAAAAGGGAATCTCGTTTTTGAAACAAGGATAAGATTTTTAGTCGACTGTCGAAATAATTATCTTCCTCGTTTGGACTACCTAGATGAAAACAGATGATGCGAAAGAGTTACAGTATACGAAATTGGTAGAGGCAGCACTGGGGTAGGTATATTTTTTGATTTAGTGAACCGAAAAAAAGGAGCAAGCGCAGAGCAGGGTCGCTCTTCTGGGAAATAACCCAACTAGAATTTGTCGCTAAGAAAAGAGAGCATCGAATCAAGTTTCCTCAAAAATGGGTAAACAAATAAGCCTGTGATTTAAGAAAATTTTGAACTTTTCTGTTGAAACAAATGTGGATCTCGCTGAGATTGTTTCCATTGAGAGTCAGTCCCATGTTTTGATAACTTGCAATAAGAAAGAGAATTGCTGATTTCTCATTCACCCTACTATAAGCCTGAACATGTGTCAGCTGGTATAGTTGCTAGAATTCGATAGACTGAAGAGATCTTGCATTTCTAATCTATTTCTAATTTAACCTTCTAGTCATTATTTTGACGGCAAGGTTTTGGTAATGAGTTCTTCTAAACGCAATAGTGATGGCTTGGCTAGGGTAGAGAGCCTGGGTAGTCATACCATAATCGGAATATTCCAGCTCAGGCAAAAATTCTGGCAGTATACGATCTCTGAACTTTTCTATCATTTCAGTAAGGGTATCTCGGAGGAAGACCATAGCGGAGCGCAGTGTCTCAATTCATAATCGAACATAGATGACATAAAGGCAAAAGGGAATTTCACATCAGTAGTTTTGAGTACACGAAGAATGAAAATTACACCTGTCGCAAGCGGCAACGGCAATATCTTGTATGCACTTCTCGAATTTCAGGTTGTTAGAATAGGTTAGAGCTAGATGGAAGTGCTGGCGCTTCTCACTGTTCAGCGGAAATGTAAAGCTCCCGATTGTCCAAACCACTCCTCTACCGTATCGAAAGCCCGCTGCATCAGAATAGAGTCATCAAAGCAGAACAGCTTTGTGTTATCAGCATATATAGAACAATTTATATCCTGAAGAAGGCATGACGGAAAGTCGTTAATGTAAAGCGAAAACATTGAAGTAGTAAGAAAGTTCCCTGCGGCACACCGCTGATCGTTTGTTAATTAGAGAAAGCAATTCGTTCACGCGCACTCCTTTTGTGCTGTCAAGTAGAAATGCTTTAAAGAATCGCATCAGACAGCCCTTGATGTTATAAGCCTGCAATTTTGTGAAATAAAAGAGCTAAAGGCAATGAATCGAAGACTCTTTTTTTTAAAATCTAATTGTAAAAAGCAAACCGTTACAAATCCTCATTCATTGATTGCTTTCTTCCACATGGGTACCATTCACATTAGACCGATAGACTTTCTGGGTAAGAATCCGTGTTATGCTTTATGCACAAGATGAATACCAATATGAAATGCGGAAATATGTTTACAGATTATTTTTCAAAGACTTGCTCACTAAAGTTGTCTAACAGATCGGCTCACGATTTCCCTCGGCCTTGCAGCCCTTTTACTAATTGGCTTATCAATTGCTGCCCTTAGGGTAAAGATTCCTTATGGAGGCGAAATTTTTGAAAAGCAAAGTTAATTCTGGCGCCATACCCACTGATGTTTTCCTAAATAGATATATGTCAGTCCATCATGATGTAGACCTTCTAAGGGGGAGACGTCTCAAAACTTGGTATACTGTGTCAGTGGTGATATCCTACAATCAATTTTCGTATTTGTAGAACGTGGAAATTTAGTTTTCGATGTTGTTGGGTCTTCATAAAAGGACCTGGAGTATTTGGCAACCTTTCTGCTTTGTCCATACCAACGCACAAGATACCCGGCTGAGTCGTATATAGGGCCAACCTAATTAACCTTACTTTTTGGTTGCAGAAGCGATAGAACGCTCGTACTTGTCAGCTATCCGCAGTTATGCTTTCTTCTATAGTATGCAGATGCAGTTAACGTTTGAGATCTGTTGAAAAAATTTGGTATTTTTGGATACCAATTCTGCTTCTATCATTTCTCCTCAATTGTCCTAGGAACGCCTGTCTCACATGACGAGTAGCCCAAGCTATGACCATCGTACATCATGAAAATTACACATACTTCAGATACAGCATAGAAGATTCCTTGACGTTTGAGAGAACGAAAACGCGGTTACTCGTCACACGTTCACTATATATTTTGTTATATCGTATCGCACATAGACATCCTCCAGAATACACTGATCATCTTGAGAAGAATTTATGACAACCATGAAGGATTTCAGATCCTCTGGCTAAGGTAAACATACTTTATCAAGAGCTATTAGTATCTGGTGTACTTACCCAATCCGAGCACGCTTTCGTTATTTATTACTCAATATTGTAAGTTCTGGCAAGTTTCTACTTGGAAGATCTAAAAATGAGCGATAGGTAACCAAAGCGAGTGTAGGAAGATAACGAAAGACAGAACCATCTCTAATCCTCAAACGATCATGAGACCAAATGAAAAAAATCCGCGATCGTTTTTACTTTACTGCTTGATGATGGCGTCTTCATTAAGCGTTGATTTATTGATTAGATCTCAAAGGTTTATTTCAAAAGCTTTCCTGCTCAATCTAACTTTGAATCCCCTTGTAACTGTTTTTGCTGCTTCTGGAAACAACGTTCGTCTGTGTAGACATCCGAAGATTTCTATGGTAACTTTGAGGTCGAAAGCTCGGCTCAATTCAGTTATAAGTGCACTGAAATTTCATCTCCTCAATGAGATTAAAAAATAAATACTCTTTGATTCGAGTGGGTTGGCGGCTGGAAGACGGGGCTTCGTGACCTAATTAAGACTAGGGAATGATCAGAGAGCACGGCCGCAAGAGAGACGCAGACTGCGTCGCGGGTGCTTGCGGTCTCCTTCTAGCCCCCAATCTCGTTGAACCAAAAGGTACTTATGGTTAGACCGCACGTCACGCCGGGACGTTGCATTTCTTTTACGGCTAATTTTTCAAATAAACGTAGCGTAGAGCTTCTGCTCGGTCTTTATTCATGGCAAAGTATACCAAAAATAGGCAAGTTTGCGTATAAATGTTTGATTTGAAAAGGAAGATGTTGTGCGGATCAATTTTTGCCTTCATTTGTAAAGATATACTATAGCTTTTTCATTGTAGACGGTCAGAAGGCGCGAATTGCCGTTTGTCACTGTCATTAAACACTTCAGTTCTAGCCGCACAACACTTCAAAACAGCAAACAAAATGTTTGGCTAACAATACCATCTGCAAACATTTGTGCAAAATCTCTGTCTTTCGGATCTCTGCAGGAAGTGCATATGTCATCAACTCATATTGCCATCTACAGTGACCGCCAAAAAGTTGCGGACAAGCCTCCCTCTTTCATCGCTCTTTTTCAGGGTGAAAACAAGGATGAAAAAATGTAGCAGCTGCATGAGGTGGTAGAGCTCCTTCAAGATCTACAATCTACGCTTTGAGTTTCTTGAGAAACATGTGCTCTAAAATTTTAAGAATCTAGTCCGAAAATGGCCGCGTCACAATGCCGCGGACAATAATTCTTCGAACGCAAAAATTTTCTCTTGAGTCCTATTTTAAAGCGGAAACACAAGTTATCCGGACGGGTAAGCATACAGAGCCATACAGCTATACTATACAGAGCTCGTCAAGAACTACACACTGGTTATGGTTGCTTCCCCAAAAAACGCAAGCTTGAGTTTTATTTTAGTTTTTTCAAAAAACAACTTCTAATTTCCTTTCTTTAAGCCAAATTTCTTCGCATGAGAACCTATTCAAGACATTCCAACAAAGCTATTCGGACAAAATGGATGCTCTTTGCCATTCTTCATGCATCGGACGTGTGCTGATGAGTTTCTTGACTGAAAATGGCCCTTGGCAGTGCTTGCACATGACCCCACCTGCACCTCATCACTGACTTGTACCGCTTTGCAGGCTTGTAGCTCGGCCTGCAGTCAATATTTGAGCCTAGGCTCATTCGAAAGAACGAGACTTCCTCTACACGATGGTATGCAAATAAGTTCAGAGTGAGCAATCCCAGAGATTTGGCGGATGGGGTGGTAGAGGGCAGCTTCAGTTGTAGTCTAAGCACTTTTCAGCTAAAGATGAAGAGAGCTCCTTTCGCTACCAATTTCATCCTGGAAGTTCAAAACTGTCAGTTTTCTTGTAATAGATCCATTTCGAAGCTCTAACTCTGTTCTGATGTTCATAAGAGCTTTCACTCTGATCACCTCTAAGGCTGCACTTTTTCACCCCATCCGCCAAATCTATAGTAGAAACAAAGTATGAAATATTATGAAAAGCTTATGTGAATGGGAGGAGTAATAAGCATTTTTTCCAAAAATTTTGCAAAACTGGTAAATGGAGATGTGAATTCAAACGGTTCGTTTGCAGCGCACAGATGACCATACGATATGGAACTTGGTAGATACAATAATACAGGCCTGCAAGGCTTAACTTAGAAGTTTCACTGAAAATTATATGACTGAGGTTGTGGCAAGCTTTTTTCCTGAAAATTTCCACCTATCAAGAAATTGAAAAAATGGCTCGTTTGGAGCGCAGAGAAAACGAAATCGCGCGAGACTTGGTGTGTATACGCACAGTAGGACTAAGGAACAATGTATAAAATATGAAAAACTTATGTGAATGAAGAGCGTGCTCAACTTTTTTCCAAATAGGTGGGCAATCGCCCACCTAATGCTCACCTGAGGTGGGCAAAACTTTAAATTCACATAATTTTTTCAAAATTTTTACTTAAATCTATTGTGCACCTAAAGTTTACTATATAGTGAAATTTTGGTTCCAAAACTCCTCCTCTTGTCCTTGTTAGAGCCCAAACTCGCATCAGCAGCCTAGCTTTCTAAGATGGAAAGCGCGCCCCAGTCAATCGATACGCGCGGGAACGGCGTCTCTCATTCCTATGACTGTTTTCTCTGATATTTTCTCATTCCTTCATCATTTTTCTTTCTTATTTTTCTTTCTGTTTTCTATCTTGATACAGCTGAGGAGTAATTAGAGGAATTTGAGCACTTTGGGCGCTTTTGAGCACTTTTAGGCTAAGTGTGACCGGTACTCTCGTTGCACAAGCACAAAGCGTCATTTTGGGCTCAAAGGGGTATTCGTAAAAATTATTGGGTCAAAAGGGAATTTGTTTTGGAAAACCCCGTTTGCCCACCTCGTGCCGGGCCCTGCCCGCATCTACAAAAACACTCAACTGTCATATGCATCCTGATTTAACTGATTGGCCAAGATGCACTTGATTTTTTCTAACCTGCAAGATTGGAAACAACTTGCTCTACTAAATATTACAATGCATGAATCCACTACAATACTGAAAGATTGCTTTATAATGTTAATGCGACAAAATGATTTAAATATAAGTTTAGAATTCTCAGTGCTGTTCTGCTTATGCAGTTATAGAGCACACACATTGGTACTTAAAATTTAATCATATTGAAAATTGTAAACTTGCTTACCCTCACAAACTCAATGCTGTTTTCGGTACGTGCCCATATGTACAAATAATTTTAATTAGTCAAAAAATAAACCGAGAAAACTGATTAGTAAGCTGTACAAGAAACAGAAAAAGGACACAAATTTGTCAGCAGCTGATGAAGTGCTGCTTGAAGTTGCAGTTGTGGTTTCAGTGGATGTGATTTCGGAGCTGTCGGAAGTTTCGGGATCGAATCCGTTGTCAGCTATTTGTGCAGCATCTCCGTTAGTGGACAGTGTGATACACAAAATCAATAACTGTAAGCAAACATACTCAGAACAACAATTTTGCTATTTATTCATCGAAAACTTACAAGAAAAATCACTGCAGATGTACCCATCCGTAAAACCGTTGTGACGTATGTCTACGGACTTTTATCGAGATTATGCTGAATATATACAGTTCTTATGTACTATTACTGGCAACGTGAACTGTCAAACACATCGTTCGCATAAATACCGGGGGGGGGGGGAAGGGCGTTTGCGGCAAGCCTGAATATCGGTAGATCCCGCCACAAAATGGACAGGAAGAGTCCTGTATGCGAAAATATAGAAGGTTTTAAAGACTTTTCAATTGCGAAGGGTGAGCCACCTCTGGAGACAGGAATCCACTCAGTATCTGCTAAGTTTCTGCACAGAAGAAAGGAGGCTTGTCCGCAACTTTTTGGCAGTCACTGTATGTCACCAGGATCACCTTTTGTCCCGCGGAGGGGGGGGGGGGGGGGGAAAGCGCATTTAGACTTCAGTATGGTCCCATAAGCATAAAGCGAGATTATTTCAGATGGTACGAACTCCCAAAGTTAAATTTTGAAAAACTGAACGAAATCGTGGAAGCACTTGATGTACAAGTGCGAATGCAACGTAAAGAAACTTTGATCCTCTTTTCAAATCTCTGATTCACATTCAACAGCAGAACGACTTCCATCATGAGAATGAAATCTTACAACCAGAAGCACATAAAATGTCTTCAATCAGAAATGCTCATCATGATTTTCAATATGTAACTCAATGTAATGTTGTTAAATAATGTTGTTGTTAAATGCTTCTTTATTGTGGATCATGAACTGCTAGAAATCAAAATATTAAATTTTCATTGTGATTTCCACTTAGTTTATTACAGCATATGCTATGTAATTGAAAGTAGTTAGACACATTTGCCCGCTCTCTTTCTTTGGTATGGTGTGCCCTCATACCTAGTTTTGATTGCAAAAAATACAGGAAACAGTTTTAGATTTAGATTGAGCTGGTATAAGAAACATCCTCAGATTGCCAGTAACATGTGCGTATTTCGTGGTTGTTTGATAGGAAGGATGTGGAGAATTATACACCAACTATGAAAAGACTGACAACAACAAAAACCACTTTAAAACCAATTATCTTTCCGAATCTCAATGAAGGTGACTACAGTTCATTGACTGAGCCATGAAGAGACACTTCGAATTTTTGCTTTTTAAATCAATTAAGGACGACTACAAGTCGAAATAGAGGCTTCGACAACGATGTAGACACGACCGGCATTCCTCTTTGCTTTTTATATTCCCCATATTTTCTCGGCTAGAGCTCATTTGCGACATAGTGGTTACACTAAAGAAGGACTAACTACCTCCAGAAATCGAATGTGACTCGACATTTCTAGCCTGTGAGCAGATCACCTTCTAGTAGTAGGTCTAACCGATAAGAGTTTCTTCTCCGGACAACCTGCGGATAATCCTCTCAATTTTGAGTTGCCAGCGATTACGACTAATGCACTTTTTGTAGTCTTATCACTGGGGGTACTGATAACGACGACGGCATGGATGGTGCTATCAGACGCAACGTCTCCTTCCTTACTCGTATCGCTAACAAACACTCACTGCCTTCGCCTTCTAGCTCCGTAAGACTTAAACCTCATAAAGCGACGCCGGGAAGTCTGCCAACTATGCCATAATCCCGAAATGCAAACGACAGTCACTCTGCTCCTGTCTGTCATTGTCGTGACGGTGGCTTCTGAACTGTCATGTAGCGGTCACTTTCCGATTAAAGAATCTGTGGAAAACGTCAGAAGGCTGGTGGCAAAATATGCTGTGTCAGTCGTGAGGAAGGACGAAAACGGGGTTGAATGGATTAATAATCTGTTTATAACGGATAAGGAATATGAGGTTAGTTTGTTGGAATAATTTGATTACTTTGCAAAGTGAATAGCAAAATGTGTTTTTTTTTTGCCTATATTAGCGCGAATCGACTTGGAATCGCGTGGTGGTTCCCTTCTCTTACCTTTCTACCTCAATAGCAAATCTACGCCAAATATGATATGCTTGTAAAATCAATAAAAAGAACAATTTTCAATGTTTGTAAGTTGTCACTGGCATAACAGTGATGTAAAGATCAATCGAAGGAATTTTATATCAACAAACTTCAAGTATTATATGTTATGCAATAATCATCCGCTTGTCGAAATATTGCTCAATAGTCTTCTTGGCCACATCTTTATTATTTCTATATTTTTAGTTCATTCCCTTCCTCTATTAGATTGCACTACAAAAAACTCCTTGCGGAGGGCGCAAATGACGGATTATTTTACTTGAGTAACAAGATTTTTTGACTCAAAACGGATGGCAAGACTTTGAATCAGATATACTATCTCTTTACCGCCTACGCCCACTATCTTGCTCTTTCCCTTAGACTACTTTGAAAAAACATTTATCCCTAACCTCTTCAACCAATTCGTATTTCTAATTACTGCTTATCCTTCGATTGTTCCATAATGTACTATAAAAACATTACTTTCCAGATAGACGACACCCGTTACTACCTCAATGACAACCGCCTGTCACCCGAGATGACGTTTTACTTCGAGGATTCACTGCTTCTTGACGCCGTGCCGATTTTTGTTGTTGAAGAGAAGCAGCTGAAAAATTGGAGACCAGACCATCCAGACAAGACGTATGCCTTGACGAAGATCAGCCACGAATGTTCAGTCGGGCAGAGGGCATGTGGATTGAAATGCTGCTACAGCGAGAGTGACAAAATTCAGCAAGTAAGTGATTGGATTAAATTATTGATAGGATTATGAAGTAGTTGATGTGGTGAGGGATTGGAAGTGATCTACATAATGATTGTCCAAGTACTAATTTTTCTTATCCGTGAAGAAGCAAAAAATACATAAAAACTAACATTTTGTATCTTGCGACAGCCAGCTTGCTCAGTAATGTATAGTATGAATTATTTTGAAAATCATCTCAATCGAATTTTTGAAAGGGATGTCCTGGCTTCACGACTTTTCACACGGAGAAGTTTTGCGCCCCTCTTTAAAAAATTTGTGAAAACATTTTTTACTGGAGAAGCAAACTCTTATCTATAGAAACGGCAAATGCATCCAGCGTTCTGTTTTATTGCAGCGTTAAACCGGTAATTGCCTATTAGCACAACCTCTGTGATTGTACGATAAATTTCCAGGCTTGGTTGTCTATCCACAGCTTAATTTTACATTCTAATTGAAACTTTGATGTAATCGTCAAACCAATGATTTGTGTTACAGGGTTTTCTCGAACTCGCCCGAGAAGGAAACCTGCAGAACAATTCTACTTTTATTTACAACGATATCATATACTCCTTCGAGCTGAGTAATTTGACCTCAGTGTGCGCCTATGATCTCTCATACTATGATATTTTATTCCGGAGAGCCCGGATCAGAGACGAATCTGTAAGACGGCCACAAAAATTATCGTGGAACGTAACTTCTTGACCGTGCATGTTTTAGTTATCTACTATTCACTTCTCTTGTCCAAAAGATCACACTTGCTGCGGGCTTAGCTGTATGCCTTTACCTCTTAATGCCCTTCTTAGAAAAACAAGAAATGCAGATGGTAAGTTTGTCTTTGTTCCATAAATGAAATGATAAGACTAATTTTTAGATTCTTCGTCCCACCCGGAACGACGGAAAAACGTTCTTCTTCTATGCGGATCTGCAATGGCATTCACTGTGTTTTTGGTGACTACAGTCATCAATTACAGGTTAGTCCTACTAGCGTCGAGCACACTTTTCCGTCTTCCATAGAGATATTGAGTTAACAATACTTTTTTTCTTTGTAATCATAAATACATTGGGCGTAATTAAATTTCGTCATCATAACATACGTTAGTTTTCTGAAACGGTGGAAACGTTTGCGTTAAAACGCATCAGAGTTATGATTCAAGCAAGTAGCTGCCTCGCATTTGTGTTTCTAAACATCGAAAATTACGAAGTCAGATCAGATTCAGTCAAACCAAATCTTCAATCTAATTTAATTAGCTCACTAATCTCAAGCTGAGTCAAGTCATTGCGTCTGGAAAAGCTAAACAGTAGCGGCATAGGTTGTTACATAACTGATTTGCTATGAATAAGCTCAGTTCAGGGGACTACAGTCGCCAAAAGTGGAAGGTCCCACTGGACATCTGAAACAAATATACAAATATATATATTCCAATACATACACAGGCTGAGTATCTGCTGTATTGTTCGCGCGGAACCCTCCTACTTTCTACAACATATGGTCCTCTACCCAAAAACTCACACTTTATGGAGCGTGGGGTCTGTAAATATGTTGACATGGAGAAAGAACATTCAAAATCTTGCATGTTATCAATAGGTAAGCCTTAAAACAAATATGTGGTCTCGGCCAGGGAAAATCCAAAACGTAGAGGTCAACCAGCTCTAGAAAAAAGTGCAGCGTGTATTATACTTTCACAGGAAAGGCAAAAGGCTTTATCATTTGATTTCCCCGTCATTTTCGGAAATAAGTAGAATTTGTTGCTCGCAGTTGTGATTCAACTCAAAACCAAATATATTCTGCTCATATGTGGAATACATATCCTTGACACAGACTTGTGACCTCTGGAAATCTATCTTTCGAAGTGGGATGACGTTCACTTGAGCAATATAATGAAATGATGTAAAGCGCACATACCCCTTGATTCAACGAGATTGGCGGGAAGGCGACGCTCGCATCCGCGACGCAATCTGCGTCTCCCTCGCGAACGTGCTCTCTGATCATTTCCTAACCTCAAAGGTCACGAAGCCCCGCCTTCCAGCCGCCAATCCAGTTGGATCAAAGGATAAGTTTTCTAAGATGGCGTATTGTAGTCTCCTCCTACTAGTTATTGGACGTAATTGTCATGCTCTTTGATTTAAAGCAAGCATAAGATTGGAAAGAAGAAATAAATCATTCGAAAAAAGTGTCGATATCAGTATGTATGCTTCAGAAATGCTGGAACCAACGCAGAAGGATCTCGGTCAAATCAGAAACTAATACTGAATCTCTGCAAACGGCAAGATCTGGACTCTCAGTCAACGATTTCCATACATCTCGATGCTGATGCAAGAACTTTGCTGGATCATGTTAGTAATGTATAGTTTCTTTTCAATGTAGTGATTGATTTTTTCATGAAATAATCACTCAAGTACAAACATTTATTTCATGTGAATGTGAACAAAATTCTTTTTTACAATCACTTTTTTATGCTTTGCACCGCTATTTCAACATCTTGCAAGTTATCACATTGTGGCGAGTATGATCTCAATGCATAATTCAAATCTTCACTTTATATTGCTTGAAAATTGTATTTTTGTTGTATAAAATCATTCTTTGTGCCTGCGAAGATATAATTTCTATAATCAATCCCTCTGCTCCCTCCGGCCTTATTTCTGCTCAGCTTCTACCAGTGACTATAATCAAGAAGGTCACGACATATTTGTCCGCATCCGGACAACACTATGCAAATCGACACAACCTGTGATCAAGCTAGGGAACAAAATACTGGTGACATAATTGGAGCAAGGTGGCGATTAGTTCGAGGGTCGCACCATCTGTGCTTATCCACTTAAGACGCGTATTCATGCTGCGATGCCAGCGAGCACATTACAAGGTACTAATTCTTTGTCGTATTCGTGTCATTTCGAGATGTGTTCGACGATTTGAATATCTCACTTTGTTTGTCAGATGCCAAATTTTTCCCTCACAGTCAAAATTCTGAAGGTGGTGTCAGGATCATGAGTTTTGTTCAGCTCTATTTGGACAAAAACCATTTTTGTTATAGTCGACGCTAAAAATTAAGGAGCTTCATAGCTTTTGATTATCATTTTTGAAGATGAGGCCCCGGACAGACCTTCACGCGATTTGATCGTCGCGACTCAATCGCCAACATTTCCATTCATTTTCATTTCACATTCGAAAATTTCGGGCTGGAAAAGTATCACAACCGAAACGCAAGTTGATCGGCATGGAATGATGTTGTAACAGTTGTCTCGTCGCGATTCAGTCGCGACGATCAAATCGCGTGAAGTCTGTCTGGGGCCTGAGACATCCTATGCTGCATTTAGTAGTTTTTTGGGCATGTCTCATATACCTGGTACATTGATACAGCTTTAGATTGCTTCAAAGAGGTAAAATACCGTAATCGAACAAGCAATATCTTCACGAACTACTCGCTTTTGACTATTTGACTATTTTTCTTGCTTGTATTAATATTTAAGATGGAAGTTAGGATCTTGATCCATAGCATACGCATATTTCATCTCATTCTGAATGAACCTAAAAATGTGGAGGGGGTGGGTTATCCAAGATCTATTGCTTAATGAGCATGTTTTCAAGATTCGGAAGCTATTAGCCGGTCTAGCTGATTCAGGTTTGTCGATTATTGGAAAATAGAATTGAAAATGCTGCCTTCAAAAGAGAATGGATTGCCAAAAGTGATATTCAGGTCATTAAAGAACGAATATTTCACGAAGAAATTGAACTATTCAGTTCTCATTTTCATAAGTATTTGTGTAAAGCTGCTCAAGAATTAAAAGGCAAGAAAACCATTTCTTGTATGAACCAAACTAAATACTATGAAACTTTTTTTGTCACAAGTAAAGTCATTTTTCTGTAGGGAAACGGTAGATCAATTCCATAGAAAAGGAAGGCAGAAGAATTTTGAACCCAAAGAAGTCGAAACGCTAACTAGTACGCTAACGTGGCTCGCCTACTGACCGTAATAACGCAAGAAGTTATTTCACCCATCGTGGGTGAAGCAAAAGCGTACTAGAATAGAGCATGCCAAAGCTCCCTGCATTGTAAACAAGCATGAATCTCACTCTATAGCCCTAAGTAACCCAGATACTTCCCTTCAATCTATTAACGCCTCATTAATCACATCATTAAAGACATACTAGTCGGCAGACGAACTGCGTCACATTTCGGCATTCTTTGATGTGAAGAGGTCCATCACCACCTGTAGCGCTATAACTGTAAACAAGACGTAAACACTTACAAAACCCCCTCCTAAACCTATTTATAGCCCAGATTTTATGGAACTGCAAGACTGAATTCCCACCGCTCTGTGGCCCTATCGAGACATCACCTTGAGCGCCCCGCAGTGTTGCTCAATAGCGAACCCATCTGCCTCGCCCCTCTTAACAACCCATTCGAGGACATCTTGCGCCTCGTTTTCGCCTTACATCGCCTATTCAAGTCAACATTTACATGTTCTTCGCTTTGCAACAGATTCTCAAGGATGAATCGGGAGAATTTTCACTTGCATTTTATGCGCAAACGCTGCCTTCTGGCTGAATTCTGCAATCCACTCGAGAATATGACGAGTTCCTTGCCGACATGTTGTCAGTCGAGCAATAGGGCAGTTCGGATTGACAGCTTACTGAATCATCCCGGGTGACAAGTTGAAGGGTCGCTTTTGGAATTGAAATGAGAAAAAATCTCAAAAAGATGCTGGATCTTCTTCCTTCCCTTTTTATTGTTTTCATGCTGGATATGGTGTGAATCTCAGTGTTTTTCGTACCGTGGCACTCCTGGCGCGGAATAATTCGCTACCTAGGTTGCTTCATCCAAAAACAAACTTCAACTCTTCCAATTTTTCCCAGGAGCGAGAGTCACTTGAAACCCCCCTACCATATCTTCCCAATGGTAAAAATGAGCCAAAACTGCTTCACGCTTACCTCACAGCAACTCAACCCTTTTATGACAAACGCCCCTCTCTGTTGCTTATCCGCCCCTATCGTATATCCCGGCCAAGGCAATTTGTCAACGTCGAACCAATAGCAGCGGGTTCGGATCCGAAAACCTTATGCCCTCATTCAGCCTTACTTGCTGGCGGTATTTATTCCTTATAGACTCGTAATAAATGTTTTTGGTATGAAATTTTCTTACGCATTTGTAAGCGATTTTCTGCCTTTATAAGTCAAATCACAACGTATTTTCAACGAGCAGATACATCAAAAATATTGTTTTCTAGTTTGTTCAAGATGAACGAAGCCGTTTGGCATACAAGCATTTTTTCTCTGTTCCATGTACAAGGGTCTGTATTTTTATTTCCCGTATAAGGAGAAACAAATTCTGAATAAAGGTAGCTTCGTTTCGTTATAGAGGAGATTTTATTTGTGATAGTCCAAATCATACTGAATCTCGAGTGGGAATAAAGGTTTTGAATCATAAGCAATCAATTTACCGAAACAAATTTCAGATTAATTAATTTTTCTTATTAATAACTACTTTATTATCACTGTTGCCTGAACATCGAATAAAAAAGCCTCAATCAGGAAAATAAATCCAAAAAATTCATACAAACATAAACACCTAAGTAGCGATCATGGGTATAAAGTTTCAGTATTTTTGTTAGTCGATCTCTACGAAAGAAGACAATTACAGTATTTTTGTTAGTCGATCTCTACGAAAGAAGAAAATACAGTTCACATCTATCTCTTATTTTTAGTTCCATTGAATGTGCTGGCTTCACCATTGAATCTCATATGATTTTTATTTAGCTATCTGCAGCATGTGAAAGTTATCCGGATCTTTCCTTTTACGGTGGAACAGCATTACTTATACGGCATTTATAGCTCCGCTTCTTACTCCTATTCCTAACTAGCTTTTTATCTGTTCATGCTACTTCATGAGGTTCCTTCCTTCCCCAACTCAAATGAATATGGCCCTTATTAGAGCAATTCCCTCAATCTTATCGAACATACGTGAACAGCCATTGGCAAACAGCATGCCTCGAGGGATGTCGGCTGTGGCTTTGACATGCGCGGGCTGGCAGCACGGACCGATGTCGGCCCCCTTGGAGCTGACAAATTCAATCAGACGCACAAGGGTGATACAATCTCCTTCGACCAGATCACAACACATATCTCATCACACTTGAACGTCGTCGTGCGCTGAACGATGCCGCCCAGTGCCGCGTTGTTCCGAGCCGAAAAAGTGCTAAATGTCTCGACCGTGTGCCGTGCCGGATCTGACATCGGCCATCATGCGGTTGTCATTACTGTTCTTTTGTCTTTCCTCGTTAACTTATGCGCAGCGGCTGCATATTCGGCTATCGTCCTCGTTTTGGCTTCTGTAATGCGGAACTGCCCATTCTGCAGCTATCTCATTCGTTTAACAGTAAAAGAGGACAGAGGGGGGGGGGAGGCTCTCCAAATGGCATACTCTAGACCTTCACTCCCTTTTGAGACGAATAAGCATAGAAATCACTAGAACAGTGGTTCATCTTTCATCACATTATCACTATTGCTTTATTCACGATCAGCTTCCTTTAGAATCAAAATCGTATCGATAACATAAATCTCAAATTGCAATTCATTCTTAATGTCCACTTGTTTAAAATGATTGTTAAGGTTTAGGAATCCTGGTGTCGTTATCTCCCGCTCAAAAATTCCAGACAGTCTTCAAAGTCGCTGTGAACATTAAAGTTTTGATATAAGTCTGAAAGGGAACATTTTTCCAGTTTTTTCTTTTCTTCATCACTAAAGTGCTGCATTTGAGAAACAATTACGAATAATGGCTAGTGTTTGTAAATCAGTCATTTAAGAGTTTACTCTCCCCTTAGAGTCTTTCATCTACGAACTTTTCTGGAAACGTTTTCCCATGGATGTTCTCGAAATAAGAATGTAATTTTCAGTCACAATCTTCTTTTACAAACAAGTAGTTAATGTGTAGTTGAAAAGCGCAGAAAAGTTATATGTTTATAAACAGAGGGCTTTAGGGTCAAAAAGCTTCATGGCGGAATTATGCAAGCATATTTTTTCATCATTCTTCGTTTTTTTGTGGGTTTTCAGGAATAAATTAAGCGGTTGGAGGGTTGAAACATTAGAAAATTTTCGCCTCCGTTCATAAATTCGCATTGACCAACTCGATTAAGCTGCTATTTGTATGGCAGAGGCTGTACCGTAGCAGCTCGATGCCTGATTTGAAGTTTCCGGAAAACACAAATTTTATCCAAAAAACCTCTTGAAATTTCTTTAGAAATTGACAACTTGATTTGATCCAGTGGCTGTACAGTTTAGGAAGCATCATTTGCTTTTACAAGCTTTTTTTTTACTTTCTCCAACCCTTGGGATGACTTGATTCCCCTTAAAGACAACACCTGCAACCTCTCATTAACTTTACTTACTGCCTTATTGTACGTTAATCCTCTTGTGAAGGTGTGACAAGATTGCGCAACAAGATATGGAATACGGTCGAGACCGGATGGTTTAGGTGTGGGGCCAGCGGGTTATATGACATCCATAAACAATACTTGACGGCTTTGGGTAGGGATTGGGTTACAGTGTCGGTTTTTGTTTGGTTTTGAATTAACTGCAAAGATATGATTTTGCTAATGGCTTTGAAATGGCCTTCAAATTTTCCCTCAAAAATAGACTATTTTTGCCGGAAAAGAGTTTTTTCTGACTTTTCATGCTATTCAACCTTGCTAGATTTAGCTACAGTATGACCAGCCCCATTGTTTGCAAGTCAAAACACTGTTCCATTCTTCTTGCTTCCTCCCTACTTATTCTTATCAGCATAAATTAGCGCTTGTTAGCATAAGTGATTACGGTAGCGGCGGCGTTGTGCGATAAGAGTTTCCAGCTGATTTGCCTCAGTTGCATATTGATGTCTCCACATCCCTCACCTACCGTACCACCAATCTGGGCGGTGTGTGAATACCTTCGTGAGGCTGGGGCGATAATGTATGCCAGGGGTACCTGCGAATATTGTCGCTTGGCGCTAGCGCCTCATTTCGTATGTAAACGATCACTAAGAGTGACGCTTTAGTGTCGCACACTCAGCGCAGCGGGGCCCCGTTTATTATCGCTTGAGATGGCAATGACCAACAGGGCGTTGGGTAGGGGTTGCTAGGGCTCAAGTAACCCCACTTCAAAACTAATTCTTCATGTTTCCTGACTTATATACCCTCAGAGGCACCTTTTCCATACCACTTTATCATTCTATGCTACTCGTCTCCATACTGCCGTTGCCCTACAGTAAACTTATCAGGGAAACTCAATATTGCAGGATTGATGGAAGGCACAGCAACAAAAAAGCCCCGGGTATGGAATCCTGCTGTCGACAATGAAGTCGTCAAGGATAAACTCAGTTCTGAGCAGCGTCAAGACACAAATGCTAACGTCGACCTATCCCGGGCTGCGAACCCCGCAATACCGATGTTGATTCAGGTCAGTTCCAAACTTTGAGTCACCTGTGAAATTTTTAGTAGATAAAGGGAGAAAACATATTCGATGTTTAGGAACGCTCACCATCAAAATATCATAACGAAAACAGTTACCATCAAAAATATCATCAAGGCTAAAAACGTAGCCATTTTGTAAAAAGTGGCTTCGCTTAGAATTTCCAAACCTTTTCGGCAAAAAAGCCATCTTTTTATTAGCGGCCGCCATGCCATTTATGAAAGCGCCGGTCGAAAGTAGGATATTTTCCCTTAAACTTCGTAATTTTTAGCTTTGGAGCAGTTTTTTAGAAACTACGACCTTGAGACAGTTTTCTTATGGGTAATAACGCTTTACAGCAGTGAGCAACTGTACAGTTAATTTTCAGCACCTTAGACTGATCCGAAGAATAAGAAAGCGACAAAATTCTGAAATATCTGTTGCAGCCATGGATCAAGCTGACTGCTAAGCCTAGTTCATTGCCATCTCAAACCTGAACATCAAAAAATTGGAAAAATTCTCTTCCGAACCATCTCACCGGATTTAATAGTTCTTAGCTCATCTACGGACGTACAAAAAAACGAGAAGCTGCAAATTATGATAGTAGCGTGGGGAATGTGATGATTGAAACCATCGAACTGTCACTGAGATACATTATCCATGTCCTCTAATACCGTAACAGACTCCTTATAAGGGTTACTAAGCAAATTCAACTTTTTTCCGCTACTGGAGCACGAACGATAACTTCACTAGAGTGTTTCATCTGACTTAAACAAAATGTTTTCAGAACTACTTCCATTTGGCACGATTCCAACAACAGCGGGTAATGGAAGAAGCAATGCGTCGTGGTCTTGTGCCACAGTTCCCTGCAATGCCGCAGATGTCCTCTCGACAGGCACCTCTTCCCACCATGCTCCCCACTCAGGCAGCTATGGGTATGGCAACTTTTATCTGTTTTGAGATATATTCTCAAATGACAATTTCCAGGCTCCCTCCTACCATGCTCTACGACTACAGTAACCGCACAAAGCGGAGGCGTTAATCCAATAGTGCAGTCTGCACTGGGCATACCTATCGCTAACGAGAATTGCTGTGCGATATGCGGTGCTGGCTTCCGTCTAACTGCTGATCTTGTGCAGCATATGCGGAATAATCATAGAAGAACCCGATTTAAGCGAAAGAACGAAAAATCTTTTGTTTGAGAGCTTGTCCAAAAATTCTACATTTTTTTCTTGAAAACGTATTGATCTGTAACGCCATGTAGGTGTTCAGTTTTATTTGTGTTGAATTGTCTATCTGGTGCCCTGTGATAAAATCGATAAGCGTTTTCCAGAATCTGTAAGTCTGTATAGCTTAGAATAAATTATTTGTCTATCCGTCTCACTCAACTGAAAAATAACATCGGGTATGATCTGATCCCTCCCAGTAGGTCAAAAGTTGACATGCATGGCCTAAAACAATCTACTGGATTTCTTCAGCATCGATGGGTTCAAAAGATTCATGGCTTTAGGCCAATCAAGCCCTCTATCTCTCAAGATGGTTAATTAATAAGTGCCAGGATAACATGGAAGGATTGAAGTTGCGACTTGGTGACCAAATGGTTCCAGGAATTGAATGTTAGAACACTTTCAGTATAGACGTTCGGCACATAAATGCACTGGAAAAAGCAAGTTCTTTATTCTTTGACAGAGCCATTTCACTATTACTATTTCTTTTTTCACAAATTCTAATTCAAGTGAAGTTTACTGTTGTGCAAGTATTATTTTCGGTAACTTTATATCTGGTAAATAAACTTTCATATGAACAAGTGGCGACAATCATTCTGTAATGTTGGGAACTGAATGGTGTATGATTGCAAAATTCAGAATGGCTCTACGTATTTTATATGGTCTTAATATCAACGACTTGTAGAGGTTTAAGGTCAACAGAAGTTTATGGTGCAACGAAAGCATACATATCTGTACTAATTTAATTTAATTTATTTATTTATATTTACATATTTAAACGAGATACTCTTTCCCGAAAAGGCATGGAAAGTTGTAGAATATTCGTATGAAACAGATACATATTACAAAGATAAACTCATTCAACTATACAGACATTGGTTACTTTAAACTACATATTTAAAAGATTCAAGCTTTACTTGCTACCATCCAAGTCGTTCTACTAATCATCAAAGAATTATCCCCTTTTATAATGTGTTTAACTTTCCTGTAAATGATTCGATGAATACGAACGACGAATATAAGTGTCCAAAACTGAGCACTTATCATAACCTCATGTGAAGGCATCCTGAAAGTACGAGTAACGTTTGAATGAAAATATCGAATTAAAGCCACTACATAAGCGCAGAGCAACCAAAGCCTACCATAATTGGTTGGCCAATTCGTTACGTCCATGAAGGTCTGCAACCGCAGGGTACGACTCTACGATACTCCTGACAAGCTCCAATAATAGAGGTATGAATGTGACCAAAGCATATACGAGATATCTCAACTCGGCACTGCCAACATGTGCAACATTCTGAAAACTAGCATTCGATTACTTTCAGTCTTGTTGTAGACATTTCCATACAAAATTTTCACTATCTTGAAGAGCATGAAACGCAGATTTCAAAACTTCGCTATCTGCAAAGCGCTTCTTGGGAAAATCATGAAAATCTTTCGTGCAAAAATTTGAAAGCGTCGCTACAATAAAATCATTCAGAGCTCTAGTCCGTAAGCTTAAATGAGGCCATGATTAATACCAAGGCGTTCTATGCAACAAATACCTTTATCGAATCACTCATGTCAGTCATTACTCCCTACAAGCGCTGGGAGGACCTCAACACCTGTTTTCACCTTAGCCAAATTATTGAATATGTACATCAAAAAGTTCCGAAAACTCCCCTCCAGAAGAGCTTTACACATAAGGAAAGCAAATTCGCATTCAGCATTCCATGCTGTAAGGCCCCGGACAGACTTCACGCGATTTGATCGTCGCGACTCAATCGCCGACATTTCCATTCATTTTCATTTCACATTCAAAAATTTCGGGCTGGAAAAGTATCACAACCGAATGCAAGTTGATCGGCATGGAATGATGTTGTAACAGTTGTCTCGTCGGGATTCAGTCGCGACGATCAAGTCGCGTGAAGTCTGTCCGGGGCCTAACATATTAGGTCCTTTCGTAGAGTTTTCATTCTCGTTCTCATTTCTTTGAGGAGCGGTTGATTATGCAGCAAGATGCGTATATCATCAGAAAGAGTTGATCATGCTCTTCACTGACTAGTTAGTTTCTATGAAAAGCTGATTTGATTTGATTTCTCACATTCCAAAAAAGGAATTTTTAAAAGGCAAAAAGAAGCAATTTCGGCACTTGCCCTTTTTCCTTATAAAATGCTCAGATTTTCATGCTGATATAGAAGAAGGCGTTTTCTGGTCAATTACAAACAAAGAAGGGATTGGTTTGCTTCTAAAACAAAGAGTTTGCAGGGTGTCACCTGAACGAGACTTTTTGCAGGATGGGCAGGAGGTTCTGCACTGAGTTTTGCTAGAGAAGAACGAGACGATCGTCCGTACCGTATAGAACTCGACTGATTGACCCGTTGATTTATAAACACTCTACAAACTTATGGAACGACCTAATATTATGCATTTCATATGGAAAAGCCACTTTGACCAAACATCCTTCCCTTGTAAGGAATACGGCAGAATTAGTATAACAGAAGAAGACTTATTGTTTACTTTTTTGTCAGCTGTTAGGCTTCAATGAGCAATGATTTTCAAAGATTTTTTGTTTGTTCACAAAACATCTCTATGAAAGAGAAGGTTGATACTGCAAAGTGAATCTTTAATTAATATGCAGAAATAAGCATTCATGCATACAGAGATGCTGACAACAACAATACCGGAATTTACGATGATTTACTTCTACTCGAGAACTCACCCTCTTTGAGAGCTTTGCTTTGAGAAGAGTGAAGCCCGTTAGAACATAGAACAGCAAGCAGATCATTGTAGTAAAAAATAAGATCGCAATATTGGTGAAAAGCGAAAGCTGAAAAGGTTAAGGGCTTTTATGAATTTCTACAAGTACTCGATATTTGTGTGAAAGTAAGTAACCATGCCCGTTCCACTTGTAAAAGCAATTTCGTAAGTCTGCAGAGGTGATAGATAATAGTATGCTTTGGCGTTGCCAATAAGTGACACGGGTAAGATGCAAAACATAGAAAAAACCCAGTTAAACACACAAATTTTCGCTGAGCGTTGCTTAGACCACATCTGAAATTCTATGTGGAAAAAGCTGACGAATTTCACCGTAATTGATGCATACATTGCAATAGTTCAAAGGGTAATGAATAGCTGTGAACCGATTGACGGCCAGTGTAACATATCCAAGAAATGTGCAAGCTCTTAGTATCATAACCGTACATACTGAAACTATCGCCAACCACTCGGGCGGCTCATTTTGGAAAAGTGGAATAAGTCGGAATTTTCTCGCTCGTACGGCAAGCTCAACATAAAGGAACAACGCACAATCAGCGAACGACTGAAAAGATTTGAATAGAGCGAAAAATAGAAATTTGTAGAAAAATACTCACGTTGAGTAGTACAACACCCAGAAAAGTTTGCTGCGCCTTTGGGAATCTGCTCCTGCTAGTAACTATAAAACTTAAAACAAAAAGATATTGTATAAAAGAAATCCATGAAAAAACTGCCACTGGCCAGTCCCACATCACTGTAAAAACATTTCATTCTTTCAGAATTATATTTGTTTCGAACATTCTAAAACCAAAAATTTGCGCTGAGTGGGAGTCATACACTAGAAGTTTTTGGTATCCAATAAATGTCCCATAGCTCATTATTTGTTTGTCTGTATTTAATATCCTTATAAGGACAGAAGTGACGAAACGGAAATTGGACACAATTTGTTTTTTCTTCTGTTAGCTTGATAAAGGGCACTGAGTCATGCTCTCAAGAATCTCTTGCTGTATTCCCATTACTAAACAAAATCTGCTCCTTCAAAAAAGACCTTTGAGTAATTTGCATCCTATTTGGATGCATGTGTCTTTCCTAAACTATAGCCAAAGGAAATAAGAGTAGGGAGGTAGACTGTATTAACACATTCACGACAATACGACCCACCGGTGGGTCGTAAGATTCCTGAAGCTCTAGCTTTGTCAGTATACAATGGAATTTTACGGGGTTTTGGCACATGATTGAGGACACCTTGGTGAAGCTCCAGGCTGGGTCAAGCAAGGGGTGTGGCACACGATCGCTGGTTACGATCCCCCCCCCCCGATTGCTATCTTAATAAGACCCCCCCCTGAACTATATACCTAAGATAGCATTACCAGAGTTGAGAAAGAGGTCAATCACAAGTCTTTCGAAAACAACCCCCGCCCCCCTCCCATGAAAGCCCTCAAACGACCCCTTCTTCCTCCTCTTAACCTCTGGACCTCAAAGTGTGACATTCTGGAAAACACCAGCTTTTTCTAGAGAGTTTTCAGATTTCTGAGAGCTGTACGCCCGATTTTCTGTGACTGCACTTTACAATCACACGTAATTTGACGGCTGATTTTAATCTGAATGGGCACATTGAAAGGGCCATAATTTTCTTATGGGTGGGGCATTCGGCTCCAAATTTCCACTGTAGCAAGAAGAAGCTATGTGCTCAATACTCATACCAGCAATGGAGCGCTTTCTGGATTTTGAAGGCAAGTTAAGGGGGTGCGGCCCACCCCCTTAAAAGCTGCGGCAGCCGCAGCTTTTAAGGGGTGTGCCGCACCCCATTAACTATATCAAAAAAACATTTTTAGCGGACATTGTTTATATGAATCGATAGCTTAAACCTTGTAGATACCATAGAACTGTTTGGAGCTTGATTCGTCTTCTTAGCTCTGAGTAATATTTGGTGAAAGTACAGCGATCAAAAGCGAAAAGTGGGAAAAACGAGATTTTGGTTGGCTTCTAATTCCACAGTTTGCAGGTCTTCTGAAGCTGGATTCCTAAGGTGGACAAAGAAGGAGTAGTGCTTTGTCTTGAGTGCAAAAACGGATAGCTAATTCACCTTCAAACAAAGTTAACCATGTTGGAATTTGACCATTTCATTTAGGTAGCCTAGTATCTTGAATCTTCAGAATTCGCTCACACTTTGTCTACAGGGGTTAATTGACATGCTAATTATGGATATGATACAAATATCATGTTATCACTATTATCAGATTACCCAACTACGGTCCCCTCCCCTTTTGACTCCTCAATACGACCCCCCAGGTGTGGCGTGCCGCACCCCACGCTTGACCCTGGCTCCAGCCATAATGGTTCGGGATACTGTAATGCAATGTTACGGTAGGTATACCGTAGATAGAGGTAAGGCACAGACTTTAGCTCAAATTTTTCGCAGAGTGATGCTGTTTTTGAGAAGTTTACATACGCGAGAAAAGGGAGAGCACGAGACCGATGTCAGCCCATCAAAAATTATCGATTTTATTGATTCTGTTGATTTTTCGCATTGTTCATCCCAGGAAGCTCAAACCTTACATATATATGTTTTTTAGCATGCTGATTACGAAAATAATATTCTCAAGTTAATGCTCTAATCCTTTAATGCATTCCCATGGTGGGAATGTAGCCAAAGTAAACACTATAATCGTGATCATGCGCGTGAAATAACCCCAAAGCACAATTTTGCATGAAAATCCATGATGTTGTGTTCGTACAGAATGACTACCGTAACTTTACCGTGTACTGCCGAAAACTGAAATAAATCATATTTTGGTAATCAGCGCCTTCAATAACCCTTGTGGGGAAATTCTCGAAAACATGTTTTAAATCTCTTTCAATAAGACTACCATTTCGAACAATACGACCCATGGGTGTGTCGTAAGTTTGACAAGGCGAAAAAGGCTCTGGTCTGAAAGGCAGTATTCGAGGCTACAACGATTTCGTTTGATGAAAAGTGTATAGTTTCTCAGATTCAAAGTTGCTCATCTAATGAAATAATGTAGGTTGGGTAGTGAACTTCATTGAAAATGGGAGTAGCTTAAACATTTGTTTTTTGATATGAAAAAGAGTAAAGGTGGGGAGAAAGGCATTTTCCGGAAGCTGGCAAAATCGAGGATTCACTAACAAGGGAGGGATACTTGGTCGAATTGGCGTTTCTAAAGGAAATCTATACTGTCTTATCGGTATCTGCAAAGCGCTCCTGAGAGAAGAGTTATTGACGAAAATTTCGAGACGCAGCTACAATAAAATCTGTAAGAACTGTAGTCTGTGAGCTTGCAGGGGATCATGGCTACTGCTAGGGCACTTCGTGCAGTTAATACCTTCATTCTAATAAATTTGAGTTGGTCGTTACTCCATTTAAAGGCAGCGTCCAGGCAAGATCCATCCACCCAGATTATCACATAGTTGTAAAGAGGGGCCCATGAGTATCCGATCTGCGTTGGTCCAATCCTTTGACGTGCCTTCTAAAAGGAGATACGGGCCTGTGATACGTATCACAAGCCGCCCCATCGTATCACAAACCACCCCTGAGGACGTGTGCTCACGCAGAGTGCGGTTGCATTGTAGTTGCATTGCAGTTGCACTGCACACTGCAATGCAACTGCATTCGTGCAGTCGCAGCTCCTCCCGCTGGCATGACGATGGGGACGAGCAATTCGAAACTCGCCCACCTTTTGAAGAGAGGGTCCCCCACAACCGGGTTTTTTGGGAGTTTTGAACAATTTAGACTTTACAGCTGTAATCAGGGCCACGGAAAGGCCCCAGAATGGCAGAAACATGAGAGGCGAAATTTTGCCCGGACGCTGCCTTTAAGCGCAGGAAAGACCTTAACACTCTTTACTAACCGAAACCTTAAATTTTTGCCTCAAAAAAACCATAACTCTCATCCCAAAAGCGTTTTGCAAATACCGAAAGCAGATTCGGAATCAGCATTCCATCTTATATATAAAGCTGAATGTCTGTTTGTCTGTCTGTCTGTCTGTCTGTCTGTCTGTCTGTCTGTCTGTCTGTATGTCTGTCTGTCTGTAGTATGTTCCGAATAGAAAATTCCAATTCTGAACCGATCCGGTCCAAACTTGGCACACATACACATTGGGCCCGGGGGGTGTCATAGGCCACTTTTCGTCATCAATCGATATCGATTTTATCGATTTTTTTGCAAAATTTGAGCTACGGGGTTGGGAGTTGGCACAGGGGGTAATCGAGCATGCTAATTACGAATATAATAATGACAGGGCCGGGCGGAGCCGGGTAAGTCAACTAGTGCCCTATAAGATAGTATAGATTCCCTATGGAAACGCAGCTTCGACCAAGTATCCTCCCCTTGTAAGACACAAAATTGAAGCATCAAGCCGACATTGCACCATATGAGTCAACTTATGAAATAAGTTGACTCATATGGCGCCATCTGTTGCACCATATGACTCAAACGAAACTGTCAATAGTATTACAGATGCGGAATATGGTTTACAATTTAGCAGCATCTTAAGTAACTGTTGACAAGCAGTTGAAAAACTTGAAAAATTGAAAATATCCGCTTAAGAGACATTATTCGTGATAGTGAGTAGAACTATGAAATAGTCTGCTCACCATGCATCATTTTCATGCTTCTATGAGCTCCTCATGCAGGTGTATGATTAGAAAACAACACTTGCAGATGTTGGAGCACACGAAAAACAATACTGTCAGAATAGCAATGGATTTTGAACCAGCTTACAAGGGAAAGATACTTAGTGTCCATGGCCTTTTGAGATAAGATGTATACCAATATACTCGTCTCGAAACGCTGATTCCATCTGACTTTCATTTCTGCTGAATGTTCCTTTGAAACGAGTTATGGGGGATTTTCGAGCCAAGTTTGGACGCCCGAGGGAAATACGATCGGAGTGGCAATCCCTATGGTAAGCTATGGTGTAATGGTCAGAGCCTCATAAGTTGATGCATGTGTAGGTATGAATCCTTTTCTGTTTTTTAGTTTTGCATTGCCTCAATTGATCTTCTTTTTGAAAGTTAGGCATCCTCTATAAACATAGATAATCACCACTTTCCGCAAAGTTTCAATACACATTCATTAAGGAGATTATTCCTCTTTTTGACGTAGCTAAATCAGCATTATAATTTGGCCTGATATACCAAGGAACAAATCTTTATCTTACAGTGGCGGTCTCAGGATTTCCATTTAAGGGAGGAGGGGGAGGGGGGGGGGGGGGGGGAGACGCTACAAAAAGTTTTTTCGAATAAAATGCGTGGTGTTACCTATGCATTTAGGAGAAATTCTTGGGATGCTTCCCCAAATTTTTACGGGTCCGTGACACTAAATTTGCAAGTGATCAAAATGACTTCTGACTTATTCTGAAAGTTAATTATTTATAGACTAAGGAACTCACTTGCACACTTTTATAACTCACACATTAGTGAGTTTCAAAAATTTTGCGACATACCTCCGGCAAAATCTTGACTCTTCGAAGAACACACACTAGCACATTACTCTTTGTTGATAGTTTAGCAGTTACTTGTATATGACATTTTTCAACGAAAATCCTACATAGATAAAATGCATAAGTGTAAGAAAAAAGTTCTACGAAACAATTAAAAAAATCATGCTGCTGTTTATTACTTCTCAACATCGCGCAAAGCCTACGCTGAAATATCTTCCAATGGCACATGCACACCCTTGAATGCATCTGACTTGGCGGCTGGAAGGCGGGGTTTCGTGACCTAGTTGAGGCCGCTCCAGCCCGCGAGTAGTCGGCGTCTCTCTCGCGCTCGTGCTCTCTGCTCATCATCTACCCTTAACAAAAAACAGGAACAATCTCCTTATTGAAGGTATTGGGTTGTTTCAAAAGTTCTACCCGTTTTCAAACATTGACTTTAATTCACCGTAACTCTTCTCAGAAATAATCTTTGCAATTGCTATAAACTGTACTACAATCTGCAAATCTTTGGCTATTCTGCATACTCTTAAAGCTATTGCAGTAACAGTGGAGAAGATTTTATAGGCGAAAATCGAGGAACATCTCCTTGTAGAAACCTTCGCTTTGTAAAAGCATAACTTGTTTTGAAATATAGCTGAGTTGCACAAGCACTGCTCACAGTGTAGACCGCAGTCGACTGAGCAGTACCGCTAACTTTGGGTTTCATCAAACTCTTTCAAAAAAATTTTGTGCTGAAAAATCCGAAAGGACCCACATATTTTGCTCCTTCTGAGGGGCAAAAAATGCCATTATTTGACATATTGATTTTGGCCGTTGACAAACCAGGAAATCTTTTCGTTCTTCTAGTAGAAGTTGTTCTAGCTCTAATCTTACTATATAGAGTAAAAGTTCCGCGATTGCAATATATTTATGATTTTTATGCGACTTAAAGGGACCATAAAGACAGGTTATGTTTGAGCTAAAAATTTGTAAGTTCAAAATTTTTCTAAAATCCTATCTCCATGAGCGTTTCGTAGCACAAGTCCCCAGCAAACATTATGTATGTTTTAAAAGAAATTTTTTCTTTTGGCTGTAGATACTGCGATAGAGCAAAGACGAAAATTTTCACATTTGTTTTGCTGTCTTTTCAGAGTACGCACCACATAGCGAACCAAGATTTATGAAAACGAAAATATGCCTGAAAAACTAGAAAAAAGAGCTTTTGAATGATATAAGCATTGTTTATGAAAAATGGTTTTCTTCCTCCAAAATTGGCAGTTTAGAAAAAGGTATCGAAAACGAGTAGAACTATTGAAACAACCCAATATATTGAAACTTTGCGAAAAGTGGTGATTATGTATGTTTATACGTAGATGAGGTCATCTTTATTGTACAAACCACACTTCCATTACCATGCGTCTCTTTCATTTGCACAGCTCAAACTGCTGCGTATGTTCACATATGTTTACATCATGGACAAAGCACACTTTGACTTTTCATTTTGTATTACAGATCTAACAAGGTTTGTAAGGTAAGGTAAGGTTGTAAGTTGCTGTAAGGGTTTTCAATGGCGGGTTCTCTCAAGGAATACTCAGTGGTACAATTTTGTTTGCGTTTGAGCAAATTCAACATCACGTTTATTTCGCATCCTTGTTCACCCAAGGTATGCTAAACTTGGAGAAGTTATGGGCAGCCTTTGCCTCTGCACCATTCGTACCATCTGTAACTCTGCATGGCCCGCAAATCCATATTGTTACGTCGTAGCCAGTAAACATAATGGCAAAAGTCTTCAATACCCTTCACGAGCTTGGCCTGCGCGATAGGATAGCAATCTTCTCTAGCAATTTTCTTAAATAATGATCTCAATAATCTTTACTCGCATTGAAAATGTATGATAAAAGACGAAGTTACCTCGATGTTTATGTAATTGTTCCAATCTGGTTGAGTCCTATAATAACGGCAAGGCTGCGCGCACCATTGTTTGTTGTCCCAGGCGGTAGCCAGAACAGTCACGGCTATGCCTAAGGCCAAAACTAGAGAAAACAGCCTCATCGGCTTCTTTCCATTGCATCAGGACTTTTATAGCGCTACTGTATTCACAAATCGATATCAATTGCGGACTGTGGGGGTAACGTAGATAGTTGCTGAATTTGCGTATGAGATTTTAGAGGGTACGCATGATTTCTACAATCTATGCTGTTTACATCAATTTTGTATCTTGACTTTTAGTTTCGACTTTTGAAACTCAAACCAATTTGCATGCACAAAATTTGATTGCACATTCTCACAGAGATGCAAATGGATTTTTGATGACGGATACAGCATGAACGCGCATTTGATATGTAATGGTGGGCATAAATTTAGGCAAATTCATTTACTGCACTATAATCTACAAGGATGGCGTTCACAAATGTAGAGGATCTAAGATTTATATTGGAAGACATAAGCAGTTTCTAATATATATGAACTCCAAATAAAATGCAGAACCTTGATCCCATGACTCGCATACTCGATGTTTGACTTCTACAAGGCTAGATAATATAAGTTAACAAAAAAGTGATAAGAAAAGGAGCATTTAGCATTTCGCCATTTCATTGAAAAATTGCGAGTTTTGCACAATCCCAGAACACGTTCAGTTATTGTATTATTTAGCACTGTGGAAGTCAAGCATTGAGTATGCGAGTCATGGAAGGTTCTAGATCCTATGTTGAGTTCATGTATATTGAAACTGCGTATGTTCCGATATGAATCTTAACAATCCTTTACATTTGTGAACTCCATCCTTGTAGAATGAATAACGAATTTGCCCAAGTGCCCACCATTACATATCAACTGACGCTCGTTCATGCTTCTGTCATCAAAAATCCATTTGCTTTTCTGTTCAGAATGTGAAAATAGATTTTTGTGCGTGCAATGTGAGTTTCGAAAGTCGAAACTAAAAGTCAAGACACAAAAGTTCAATGTAAACAGCATAGATTGTAGAAATCAAGCGTTCTCCCTACATTCTCATAAGCAAATTTAGTTGCATTGAATGTCGCTGTTCAAATATCGACTTATTCTGGTGTAGAAAAATGGGATTTGATGGGTCTTGTCTCTGGCAGGAAGCCCTGAACTGTGAGTAGTAGTTCGCTCGTAAGGGCTTTCATTGAAAGACATGGGGGCAGTTTTGACAGAAAAGCTTTGAAGGAAAGGGATTTTGCTTACCAGACTTACCAGATAAGTGGTCTGCTTCCACTAAGTCTATTATCTGTTAAGACTCTGAAGAAGGCGAGTTTGCCAAAACGTCAGTCTGTATACTGTGGTTGTGGAATAAATATCTGTACCAATCTTGGGGCTGCTAAGAAATCAATCCAGAGGAAAGGGAATTTGTAAGCGGTTTGTTCACTTCTGAAGCAAAGTGTTTTTCACATGGGACGGTATTTATCAATCTTCCGTTCGCTAGTCGGGCGTTTTGCATCGTCATACATAGCCCTGACAGGCGAGGTTCAGCCCGTACTTTGGTTAGCAGCCCAAACGGGCAGCATAGCCCGATCTGTCGAGATCGAGCCTGTCGTGCCCAACATGGCCAAACTAGCCAGATCGGAGCTTAGAGCCCATGCATTGTCCTACTGTGAGGTCCACACATTAGTGATGAGAAATTCTGATATATGTTGTGTTCCAATCCAGTTTTCTATTTTATGCAATTTGCTATGTATTGCTTTCTTTGAGCCAAGAAATAAGATTTTTGATTGCTTTGCCCATTTCTGCAATTTTAACTTATCCCTGTGCTTTGAATAGTACGCTAATGCTATTTAGGACCAATTGACCATTTCCGGCACTTTTCAAAAAGAGTGACTTCAAATTCCCAATTTGACTTTACTGTTGTTGACATGGTAATCACACGCGCATATCAATGAAAACTGTGCTCGAGGATCGAAATGAAAGGAAAATACAGTGAAATACTATCGGTTTTCAAATGTAACGATATGCAAAGTTTACGTCAGCAAGCGTTTTTGATATGCGCCAGTTCGCGCTGCTGGCGTGCTGCCTTTCCACAGCAGGTTTCCGAACAGGCATGACGGGGATGTACAGGAGATTGGTAAATACCGTTCCTGGGTTCCACGTCTCGGTTCCACGTTTATAAGGGCGGGTGTACAAAGGTACTGATATTTTGTTATAACACTGGTTATTATTGGGTTGATGCATAATCTCAGCAGCAAAATAGGTACAGACCGTAATAATACCATTTCTTCTATATCTTAAATAAGTCCTTGCACGTTTTTTGATAGAGCAAAGCTAGCTCTACGAGATGACATTCAAAGTTTTTCAGCAACCTTGATACAAGCAAAAATTGAAGAAAAAAACGAAAAGGGCCCTACCGCAAAAAAAAGAAAAAATTGGATCCGTTCAAAAAAATTCTCCAAAAATTCTAACTTGCTCTTGCATTGGTAATTCATATCGAATATTTCACTATGAGGTTGCTTGACAGTTCATAACTCCCTTCAAAGTTTCTTAGTAAATGATAAGTGGCCTATCTTGTAGCCGGAAGCCAGTAGGACAAAATACATTAAAAAGAATTCGGACAAAAAAGTTTGCGAGAAAGAAAAAAGTTGAAATTTAAAATTTCTCAGTTTTATCAACATTTTTTCAGTGTGCCTCAAAGTCCGGAATATAGAATTTTCTTAATTTCTACGTAGTGAACAGCTGGATGTTTTTGCAAAAACTGCTAATAAGTGTCCTAGTCCTACGCTGACAGAATTGAGCAAAGCTTCGGCGAATGACTTTCTCAGAGGAAAATTATGGGTCATAAAATGACCGCAACAGCTACCCATGTTTAGGCGCCAATATCTCAGTCTGGAAACTTCAAAGAATACAATTAAGTATGCATAATGTAGACAATTTCTATTGCATACAACAGCTAAATTTTCGGAGAAATCCCATTGATACGCGCTTGAATTCTGGTCGGAAAATTGAATGCAATGAAATTCTTAATTTGGATGCGATTATTTGAAGCTCAGTAACCTTGTAACAGATGAGGATGAAAGCCCGTTTCAAGCACCCTTAGATAGAGCATGAAAACAGCTTCGCGATGGTTTACTATAATACATCTATTGCAAAGAAGAAGTATTGATGGAAGAAAGTTGCCCTGAAAAAAGGCTTGGAAAATCCATTACTTTTGCATCAACCTAATAGTATGGAACTGTTAGTACTAGAACATCTCAGCACTGATTTGACAAAAGAATGAAAAACTTCGTTTTCCCATCTTTTGGCTGAGAAAATATACGGCAACTGCACAGATAAATGTATTATATAGAATGCCCATGCGCGAGTAAGCAAGATTCTTTTTAAGGGAGCCTCCAGACCGCGCCGGAACCGCGCCGGTTGTCGCTTTTGCAGCCAATAGCTGCTTTCGCGCCGGTTGCCGCTTTTGCAGCCAGTAGTTGCTTTCGCGCCGGTTGCCGCCATTGCAGCTGAAGCGCATTGTGTCAGATTTTGTTCTTGGAGCGTCGCGAGAGCCTATTGGCACTAAATACTAGGCTTTTCGATTCTTTTGCCACCATACTTTTGTTTCCAAGGACTTCTTCCTTTCAGTAAGTAATTCATTGGAGGTTCTAGGATGCTGGAATAATCGACTCATTGTCGAATATTCAATCTACCTCCCGCTGTAGAGTTGTTTCTTTATCCAAAAAAAGTGATGAACGGCGTTTTGTCTTTCATTCGTTTCTAAACTATTTTTTAACGGTAGTTGATCGAATTCGTGTAACAACGTTTCTTTAAATTTGTCTTTAGTTTTGAATGCTACTTCTATTAAGGACATCGGGTTGCGGACTTTCCCTGAATTTAAGTGTGAACTTGTTGGAACTTCGTGCAGCATTGTTTTTCAAACTCTTTCGTTAACTTTACCATTAAAATCAGGGAAAGCCCGCAATCCGCCTCCACACAAATCTGGGAACTCATGAATCTTTGCGGGATGCTATTTTTTTGCACAGCTTTCGTTTTGATGATATGCTCTGCTGTGGTGCACAGGCAAGGTTTCTCGATGTCTTTTCCGATTTGAGGTTGGTCTACTATGCTGAATGGACGATATCGTCGCAAAACGCGTTTTTTGCACTCCGTAATTCTGAAGCTACTCTACTATACTGCTTGAAAGGTTAACTATTTTACTATGCTGAAGTAAACAGTATATACCTTAAATGGAGAAGGAGAAGGCACCAAATGACTTTGGAATAGATCGTTAGCGTAGTGAAGTACCAAAAGCAAAAATAGTATAGAGAATTTGTGTTCTGCAGCTAAATCGCTGCAATGGCACGATGGAACAGCTTCAAAAACAAAGAAGGTACATTCGCAACTCGCTCATTCAGCATAGTAAACTAGTTTCAAAACGAGATAGACGTCGAAAAAACCTTGCCTTGCAATAGCTCTACAGCGGGATTTAAACTAAAAGAGTTTCACTCGACAATGAATCGATTTTTCCAGCATCGTAGACGACCGAAAAAAAGGAATCCAGATCAAATAAACCATATCTGCAATGAATTACTACAGCAAAGAAGAGAACTTTGGAAACAAAAGAGTGATGACAAAGGAATCGAAAAGCCTAGCATCTAGTGCCAATAGGCTCTCGCTACGCTCCAAGGACAAAATCTGACACATTGCGCTTCAGCTGCAATGGCGGCAACCTACGCGAAAGCAGCTTCCGGCTGCAAAAGCGACAACCGGCGCGGTCCCGGCGCGGTCTGGAGGCTCCCTAAGAAATTTTTTGAACGGAGTTGCAATCTTGTTTCGATTTTTCTCAGGTTTTCGGGCGCATGGTTATACTCAGTTCTCGGTTTTTTGATTTTGCGTAGATAAAAGTTGGTGTAGATATTTGAGTACTTTCTTGTAGCGCGAGGTTTGACGTATTTAACACATTGACGACCAAGGCGTTTCGCGGACTGGTCAACATTTTTCAAATAAAACACGCGCAATTTCATCTAGAGTACACCTACAGTAACTCTGGAATGCTGGCAAAAACAGTAGAGGTTGTGTCTAGATCCAGCACAAAAGAAACCTATCGGAGTGGGTTTAACACAGAATAGTAGCCATTGCAACGATACACATGGTGTGTCAAGCCTTGACACACCATGTGTGTCAAGCGGTCGTCAATGTGTTAATGA